TTTTTTTTTTTTTTTTTTTTTTTTTGGTACCAGGAATTGAACTCTGGACCTTGCGCTTCCGAGGCAGGCGGTGTAATCACTGGGCTAAATCCCCAGACCATACTGTTTTGTTTAGCTAATCATATACATAAATATTTTTTATAAAATATCTTCAATGGATTTTTTTTCTTCTGACAACTAATGAGTTGAGCGTTGTTCCCAATAGGCAACTGAAGAGGACACTTCCAGTTCTCTAGCAAGAGAACACTTTTTCCATCAGGAGACAGTTGTTACCAGTGACCCTTACAGAAGCTCCAGTATAAGACTAACTCCCTTTGAAGATCTGAACGCCAGAAGAGTTTACTTGCAAAGCCAAGCCAATCAGGTGAGAAAATAAATATGTTTCAATATGTATAGCATATGTGTAGAAATTCATTGTGTTAGAGAGGGCCATTAATATCTGTCCTTCTCTAGATAAAATAAACACCAACAGCAAGACAGGAAAACCAAGAGAATATGATGTACAGTGAATCACATTCATTATTTGACAATAAATATATTCACCATAAAGTCCTTTGGGGACATAGTAATTAAGCCATAAATTGCCTTGAAATTTTTTTGGTGGCCAAGGTGAAACTGGAAAATGTGTTCAGTGAATTTTCATTATCTAGAAGGGTAAAAGAATTCTAGCATCTTGGGAAGCAAAAGTTTCTCTTTATAAAACACTTTTTAAAAAGGGAGGAAGGAACTTCTCAGGCCAAAGAAACTGCTTGAAAATTATCCTCAGCTAGCATATCTGTGACAAATTCACTAAAAAAATTTATAAGGTTTCTTATAGCTCACCTAAAAAACTGTAACTATATTCTTAAATCATTTCATTAAAAGCATTTCCATTGAGCATTGTGTATACAACCTTCTAATAGTTCCAGCCAAGAGAATCTAAAAGTGAAACCTTGGTTATAGGACATAATCTTATTTGATGCTACTCATAGGTATTAACACATTATCAAAAGACTACTCTTGACCCTGATGCTCTCAGTGATTTAAATGTATGTGTTTGTTCTTGTTAAATAAGCATTTGACACTAGCACTCTGTAGGAACTCAAATGTAGTTTCGTATATTGCTGCTGAAGTGAGCACTCAAATGTTGTTTAATACATACTCAGTAACTTACCTACAAAAGTAAAGGACAAAATGACCTTTTCTTTTCTTTGCTCCTCCTCTTCTCCCTCTCTCCCTGTATCTCTTTATCCTACCTCCTGTCCTGGTGATCCTCCTGCCTCAGCCTCCCAGAGTGCTGGAATTACAAGCTTGAACCATCACACCTGGCTGCTTGTTTTGTTTTTTCTTTTATTGACACTAGTGATTGAACCAGGGCCCAGTATATGCTAGGCAAGTGTTTTACTACTGAATTACATTTCTAACTCTCCCACACTTTAAAAACAAAATAAAACAGGATCTCAGTTGCTCAGTCTGTCCTCAAACTTAGAATCCTCCTGCCTCAGTCTCCCAAGTAACCAGTATTATAGGTGTGCACCACCCTTGGCCACAAGGCATGTTTTTGAATATCTGTCTTCTTGCTTGATGCATGGTACCCATAAAGTACACTGTTGACCCTTGAACAATGTGAATGTTGAACACCTGCCCCCACGTAGTAAAATATCAGTATATGACGTTTTGGTTTTGGTTTTTTGAGGCATGGTCTCGTTATGTCACGCAAGCTGGTCTTGAACTCCTCGGCTCAAGTTATACTCTTGCCTCAGTCTATCAAGTAGCAGGAACTGATGCTTCGTGCTTCCTGCCACCTGGCTTTTTTTCCTTTTTTCTTTTAAGATCTTTATTAACACATGCTTGCAGTGTGATGTTGACTTTTATTTTCTAAGTTGTAAGCTTTTATTACAAATTTTAAATGAGGTTCTTGAAAATTTCAACTTGACCAAATATAAAAAAAGATGAAAAGACTTTAAAGGTGTATTGGGAAAAACCAGGCTTTTTTTAAAAAGTTTGTTTATCATTACCAAAAAGAGTTGTCTTTCGGTAAAAATAATAAAAACTTCATGCTGTTATACAGCGTAACTAGTTATAGTTCAGCAATCAGTGGCAAGACACAAGCACTTAAGGTCTGCAACTGCAGGCTTTTTTGTATTCTTTGCTGTTGGAATCTCATGCTCTCTCCTGGTGGATGACGGATGACAGTGGGATGGAAAGCTGACATTTACTCAGCCCTGCCTGCTTGGCATAAGGGTTAGATGGTGGTTCAGCTGTTATCGTCTCTGCTGTCTTGTAATGTAGGCTTTTTGGGGCATCTGCATCAGTAATTGAAATTAGGCAGTAAAGTCGGTGAGGTGGCTGCCGACCTTGGGTCTCATCTTGATTTTCCTTACTCGCTTCATTGTGTCCTCTCTTACACTGTCTCGTGAGGAGTAACCATGCGGTGCCATGGACTCTGCAGCTTTTCTGTGAGTACTGTCTGGCTGTGCACCCTGGCCGTCAGCACCTTCCCTCCATCTCCCTGCACAGGAGGTTTGGAATATTGTGGTCGGGGCTTGTACATCTATAGGAAAGCAGGAGCTCCTGCCTGTGACAGGACTGCATTGTATGGACTGACTTTTAGGAGCATCCTCCAATCCCTTTTATTATCTTCTTCATGTTTACTGCCTTGAGCTGGCAATCTATCACAGCCTGTAATATTTGCTGCCTCTACATTCTTTTCTTCGCCATTGTCCACTTCACAAACTCCTATACTGCAAGAGTACTTTCTGGAATTATTCTTTAATATGGTATACTGGTCTTATTCCTGTTGATGAAACCCCTTTTTTTTTTGTACCTGGGATCCAACTCGGATCCTTGCGAGGCAGGCAGCGGAAGCCACTGAGCTAAATCCCCATCCCGAAACCACATTTCTTAATGAAAATGTTTTACAGTCCCCAAGTCTTTGTTGAGCAGTACATTACTGTTAGAGGTGCTGGGCTAAGGCGTGGTGGCAGCAGCACTGAGAGCAGCTGGCTCATTGGCTGCTGGGTCTTAGCCTTACTATGCCTGGTTCCAGTGCCTACAGCTGTGGACCCTGGACTGTGACATTAGTAGACCAGTAGTTAAGGTGGGCTGCCCAGAATTCCTGAGTCCCACTCTGCCCTCCTATACTGGTGGGAGGCATCTGACTTGATTTCTCCAGAATTTAACTGCTAATAACATGTCATTGGCCAGAAGACTTATCCATAACATAAACAGTCAATCAACACAGTTTTTACTGAGATATGTTATTTATTTTCTGGGGATGAGCAGTGTCATGACATTTTAAGCAGATATGTACAGTACTCTAGTTTACATCAGTAGTAACAGGAGGTGGGCTCTAAATTATTCTAGTATGTAATGCATTTATTAATGCACTTAGGATTTGTCTTTAGTCATTGTTCTCGTTGCTGCGACAGAGTACGAAACACCTACAATTTGGAGAGGAGGTTTATTTTTGTTTTTGTTATAGTCAGTGATTGGCTGTCTCCAGGGCAGAAGTGTCATGGTGGAAGGGCCTGCCTCAGAGGAAAACTGCTCACATCAGGATGGCCAGTAAGCAGAGAGAAAAGGGACATGCCCAGGAGGGAGATAGCCCTTTCCAGGTCATGCCTCCAGTGACCTGCCTCTTCTGACCGAACCCTGCCTCATAACAGCGAGCCGGCTGTATTGCACCCACGAGTCAGTCGCCTCTCAAAAGCCCTGCCTGTGTGTGTGTGAGACTCTTGGGGGCATTCTCGATTGGAACCACAAGAAGATTTAATGCTGCGTGCGTTTGTTTACATTTCTCCCAACTGAATAGGGGGCTGTGTGGACATTTTTATGTTTGCCTTTTTTATTTGTATATTTTATGAATTTATGCCATACTTTACTTTTTCTTAATTTTTTTATATATTTCTAGGCTGAGCAGTTTGCCTGCTCTTCAGAAAGAAAATGCTGCATATAAGTGCACCTGCATGGTTCAAACTCAAGTTGTTTGGGAGTCAAATATATTAGTGTCTGGAGGCTTGGCAGCCATGCCTAAATAAAGCCTAGCTGATTCTTAATGATTCTCATTTTGACCTGAGGAAAAACAAGATGAAGCATTTAATTCAATAAGTTATTACCATTAATTATTTTAGACTAGATGTCAGGCCCAAGGCTTAGACTTGAGGGATACAAAGGAAATAGCCATGACTTCTGCTCTGAAGGAGTTTTTGGTCAAGTAATAGATGCATGTTCATAGAGCTATAAGAGCCCAGAATAGGAACATTGAACCAGAAGATAGCAGCTGTTTTTCTAGGTGTGCCTAAATTTCTTAAGGATAACATAAATCAGTAGCTAACTGAAGGGGATTGGGCTATGGAAATTGTGGGAAAGGGCATAGAAAAAGTAGAGGACACGTATTCTAGTGAGAGAGAATCTTGTCTTGGACTACCATGGCATAAAATAAACTGGGTATCTCAAACCAGAAGAAAGGCTTTTCTGCAGTGTTATGGTTCTCAAAAGCAAAACAAGGTGCCCACATGGCTGTGGTTCTGGGCAGAGGCCCTCCTCCGGGCCTGCAGACTCCTGTCTTCATGCTCTGTCCTCACTTGGCAGAGAGGGAAATCAAGTTCTGTTGGGTCTTCTTCTTACAAAGACACTAATCCCGTCAGGCTAAGGCCCTGCCCTCATGAAACACTCCAGTTCAAAATAACTTACTTTGGGAGTGTTGTGGTTTGTGTCTAGATGAGCCCCAAAGCCTCATTGCAGTCTTTCTCTAAGGTAGCTAGATCTGGAATGTATGAGGATGTTAGGATCTAGGATGTGCGGTTACTTACCCACTGCATGTGGGTGATTGGTTTGGCACCACCTTAGTCCCAGTAGTGTGAATAAGATAAGAGAAACAGAAAGACCCTGTTAAGGCCCCTTGTTGCTTTAGCTACCTTGTGGGTACCACAAACTCTCACCTCTGGGACGTCCTTCCTGTCTCTCTTGTTGCTTGTTGCTGCTTCTGCTGTCTTTATCCAGTTTGTCATTTTGCAATATCAGTAGATACGAAAACCCCAGGCTACCTGATACAGTTTTATGGAGTCTCAATTTTAGTCAAAATTTACTATAAGTACTGTTCTATCTTAAATTTCCACAAATGGCGGGAGTTTTCCTGAACAAATAGTGTTGCCCCCACACATACCCTTTTCTTTCTGATTTAGTCAGTAGGGGTGGTATTTTATTGTGATTTTAATTTATATTTTCCTGATTGCTAACAATATTGAATAATTTTTTCATATGTTTCTTTTTTTTTTTTTTTTGGTACCGAGTATTGAACTCGGGTCCTTGCGCTTGCAAGGCCGGCCACTGAACCACTGAGCTAAATCCCTGGCTCCCATTTATTAAATTGACCATTTAATAATTCTGTTCTAAAGTACTTGTTCCAATTTTTTTTACTTAGGCTTGTTTGTAATTTTGAAACTAAGCCACTTATTGAATATATGTCTATTCTTTGTACCTTCTTATCCCCATCTGTAAATTGTGGTGATACCATTATCTACCTCTTAAAGTTGTTATGAAAGTGAAATGATTAAATGTGTTATATATAGCACTTAGGAAAATGTTTTGTTAAATACATTAAATAGTGCTATTCTTAGTCTCTTACAGTTGGCTACTTGTACCTCCAAGATTGATGTAACATAGAGAAACAAGGCTTATTGTCCTAGTCCATCTTGTGTTTCTGTAACCATTTGGGCAGTTTATAAAGAAAATTTCTCATAGTTCTTAAGGATGGAAAACCCAGTATTGAGGTGCCAGCAACAGATAAAGGCTTTCTTGCTTTGTCACCCCATGATAGAAAGTAAGAAGATAACAGGACAGGAGAGAGCAAGAAGAAAGGAACAAGCACCCTAAAAGGGGAGCCCACTCCTGCAGTAATGCAATTCTTGCATTGTTTGTCCCTTACAGTGTCACCTCTCAACCCTGTTCCATTGAGCATTCAGTTTTGAACACATGGACTTTGGGGAACATATCCTAACCATACCAGTTGCATTAATTTGCATAACTAAATATAGTATTTATACCTTTACTGATGTTAAAACGTGGATATCTCAGTAGGAAATAAAATGGGATAATTTTTTTCTATTAAAGCTATAGGGTGATAAATACAGGATAGAAGTTTTTTAACTAGCCATAATGCATATATGTTCAGCCAATACTGTTAATGTTGTGTATTAGTTGTCCATTTGGATGAGACCTGAAAGCCCCAGGGGATGCATTTCTTGTTACACAATCTGCTCTTAGTTTATAGAGCCAAAATCTCTTTATGGTAACTAAGACCAAATTCATAGTTCAAAGAATCTAGTAATCAAGTTTAAGAAAATAATAATGTAAAAAAGTCAGTGTAAAATTTAAACCATCATGAAGACCAGTAGTAGTGGTAGCTGGTTTAGCACATTATCCACATAAAATAGATCTTCGTCATATATTATTAGACCATTGCTAAAAGCTTAGTGTGCATAAATATTCAGTAGACTAATTATACTTTGACTATTTAATTGCACACAGTAGGGTTAACTTGATGGATCCTTTTCTACCACATAGGAACAGACTTGACGAAAGGACCAGAGTAATGCCTTTCTGATCTTGAGTCTAAAATTTTAACTAACTTCTAAGCAGGTTAACCTGCCAGGGTTTTGAATTCTGCCAGAAGTTATAAGACTGTTGGCTGAGACACATAAGACTTTATTAAACACAGCACAGTGTAGCAGAATGAGTTTCATGTTGTGTTGGTCCCTGATCTGATCCCATGAAGTGGTGGTCATGTACATACTAGGTGTGCATTACTGCATCAAAGCCTGGAGTGTCATGAAGCCAACTATTGTACACTGGGAATTGAGCCTGCCTGGTTTTCATTGTGGACAGAGATAGTCATCTTTGTTTTTCTGGCACTAGGCAAGCCTGTCTTCCTGGAAACTTGCACCTTTCAAGCATTTCATTACACATATATCCTTGACCAGAGAGTCTGAAACAAAGGCAGACATTGCCTATGCTCAGTAGATTTGCAGGAATGAGACACACAGAGAACTGTCAGTACTTAGATTTTTCTATCTACTAATGCTTATGTAGATAGACATTGTCGGTGTTGTCCTTTGACTCACTTCTGTATGCTTCAGTGGGCTGTTTAAATCCTTTGGATGCATAGATAATTGATTTAAAATGCTAATATACTCAGTTTTTTTTTTTTTTTTGGTTCTCTTGTTTTTTGTACTGGGCATTGAACTTCTTGGACCTTGTGCTTAGAAGGCAGGCAGTGGTACCACTGAGCAAAATCTCCGACCCTTTAGTTGACTCTTACAGACCTAGAATTCACTCCAGCCTTTTTTTTTTTTTACTTTCAAATTCCTGGGCTCATTTCACTAGATAAATAAGATAGTGTGTATGAATAAACACATAATTTATGACAAACTTAGTACATAACTGAACTCTTCAGAAACTACCAAATTAAAAACTATTCCCTTGCCTTCAAGACTATCCCCTTATCTTCATTCTAAATGTAACCATTACCTTGAATTCTATTGGCTTAGTGTTATTGAGCTCTTCTTGATTTCTGTGACTTATCTTTTGTCAGTGGATTTCTTCTGCTCATTGTTTCCAGGTTCTTGCTGTTTTTAGGAATAGGTCTAGTCCAGACCTAGTCTCTAGTTAATCATATGCATGAATTTCTTTAGGAGCTTTTGGTGTCATTTATTGTGGGGTTTTGGTGTCTTTGTGCTACAAAGGCTATAAACAGATTAGTCTATATTAAACATTAATGCATTGTTTTATAATTCTGAAATGAGCTTTACAATTAAATACACTTAAGAAATGTATCAGGACATTAAATAATTTATAAAACAACCCATTTAACGTATATAATTTATTGAATTGTAGTGTATTCACAAGATTGTATAATCATTGCTGTTGAATCCCAGACCATTTTTATTGCCCCCCAAACTCTATACTAATTAAAGTAGTAGCCATTGGCCCTACTTTGACAACCATCACTGTGATGGGTATCACTAGTTTTTTCCGTTTTGGGATTGAGGAATATTCTAGTATATGTAGCTACCACATGTTATTTACACAATCATTAGTGGGTATCACTAGTTTTTTCCATTTTGGGATTGAGGAATATTCTAGTATATGTAGCTACCACATGTTATTTACACAATCATTAGTTTATAGACTCTTGGGTGTTTGTTGTTTTGGGGGCACATATTACATGATAAAGGACCTAACAGGTGAAGACATTATTCAGTGGTAGAGTGCTTGCCTGGCATGTATATTAGGCCTAGGTTTGAACCCCAGCACTGTAAAATAAAAAAAAAGAGAGAAAAGAGGAAAAGAAAAACCTAATTTACCAAAAAAAAAAGAAACCATGAAAGTGGAGGATGTGACTCTATGCTTTTTATAACTTCACAACATTATAAAATTTTGGAATACATACTGTATATGGTTTCATTGAAAGTAAGAGATTTCATTCTGTTGTCATTTAATGTGGAAAGTGTTGTTTGTGTTCTAGATAACATTTGGTCAGCCAGTCCTAGACATTCAGAACAGAAGTATGGAATATGTACAACGGCAAATATCTAAGGACTCTGGAAGTCTAAAGTCCCAAAATAGGGTAAGTAATATTTCAGATATAAAATATAACTACTTTGTAGTTTTTCTAATTCTCCGTATGGATGGTTACCAGAAAATTTTTCAGTTTCTAACTTTGCTATGTATGTGCTTATAAAACCCTGTTACTTAAACTGCCTCCAAACTTCTCGTGTGAATCTGTATTTTCATTAGATGAATCCATTTCATATTTATTGAATGGACTGTATCCATCACCCCACCTTAAGCCCAGACTTGGAATTTAACCCCACTTCCAAATACTGGGGAATATAAGAACATCCCAATCTGAGTTACTTGTTTACTTATAGACTAGTGTCTGTGTTCAGGCACTGGAACGTGGACATGACTACCAGAAACCTACCTTTTTGGGTGATAGGGATAGCCAAAAGACTTGATTTTGTTCCTTATCCTCAAAGAGCCAGCCTGTGGGGTGGAGTAACAACACACGTGTGGTTTGTATGGGTGTCCTGTAAGTCATGTTTCAGAGACTGTATGCATAACCAGGCTGAAAACACTTAAGTCCTAGGAGTAGATGTCTGCTTGGACTGCCATAGCAAAATGCCATAGGGTTAGTGACTACAGCAATAGAGTATACTTTCTCTTAGTCCTGGATACTAGAAATCCAGGATTGAGGGTGGTCACTATGTTAGGGGTCTTCTAAGCCATTTCTCCTTGGCTTATGGATGGCCACCATCTCACTGTGTGCTTCCATGGTTTTTTTCCTCTGCCCATCCATCCCTAGTGAATCCTAATTTTTTTTTTCTTCCAAAATTGCTAATGAGGTTGGTTAAGGCCTGTCCTGGTGCCTTAAACACCTTATCTCCAGTCACATTTTGATGTACTGGGGAGAACACAGTTCTCTATTCTTTGGCCCCAAAGCTCATGCTCTTCACACATATGAAATGCATACAATTTCTATTAGCCGCCCTAGTCTTAACCTATGCCACCTCTATGCTGAGTCCTGAATCCCTTCTAAATAATCATCTCACCTAAGCATGGGTGAGAGTCCAGGTATGATTTGTCTTAAATTTGTAAGGCAAATTTTCTCTCCAGCTGTGAAACTAATTATTGCCTATAAAATATTATGGTAGGAAAGGCATAGACCACACATTCCCATTTCAAAATTGAAATGAAGAAGCTGTCTTGAAATTTGCAGTAGATTTTAAGACTTGAAACAAATCTTGTTTGACTTTATGATCCATCCTCCAGACTCATTGGGATGATTGGTCCCACCCCCTCAGTCCTAGGTGTCAGCATCACAGCCAAGGCCCTGGGTTGCTACAGTGTCCTGAAACTAAGGAGTTGGCCCTGCCCTCTGGGACTAAAAAGAAAACAGCCTTGCCTTTGGGGGCTGTTTCTCTCTCTTCTTTTTAATCTTTATTAAGTTTATTGGTACATATTAGATATATAGTATGGTTAACATTCATCATTGGGATCTTATATCTTGGGTTCTTACTTTTCCCTGTTCCCCAGCCTTCCTTTCAGCCCCTCCACCCTTCCCAGTGTACAAAGACATTGTTTCCGTGTTTTAAAGTCTTATGAATGCTCACAGCCACATACGTCTCTTTGCACATCTTGTAGAATCCCAGAAACTCTAGAGCCTTTCTTCATTTTATCCTGTCTCTGTACCCTTTGGTCGAAGCTGGCATCATTTTGCTTTATCATGTGATTGTCCAGCCATATCCTTGGTATTCTGTCCAGGACATACTTCTCTCATTTTATTTTTGCAATATAATTAGACTAAGAAATTTTCAAATCTTTAAATTCTGGTTTTATTTCGATTAACAGTTCCTTTTTTCAATATCTCTCAATATTACTATACATATCAAGGACAAACTAAGTCATACCTTCAACACTTTGCTTGTACCTGTCCATGTTTTTATCATTCGCAAGTCCTACCTTCCAAGAAAAAAATTAAAAACCACTAGAACACAATTCATCCGATACAGTTCTTTGCCACTGTGCAGTCAAGATTGCCTTTTTCCATTCCAAATACCCATCTGAAGTTTCACCAGAAGGACTTTTAAAGTCCATATTTATTTCTACCAATAGCCTGGTAAAGGTTCTTCCTCATACGCATCTTAAAACTCTACCTCTACTACCCAGTTCCAAACCTATTTCCACATTTTCAGGATGCTTGCTGCGGTGCCACCCCACCTCTCGGCATCAGTATCTCAGTTAGTTTGGGTTCTTTCATGCAGAACCGAGGATTTGAAGATGATTTTATTTAAAGGAATTAGCTCATGTGGTAGTAGAGTTACAAATCCAGAGTTTCCAGTAGGCTGTCCGGCTGAAGACCCCAAGAGGAGTTGTGGTCTGAGTGGTGGCAGAACTTCATCTTGCTCCAGCTCGGAGAGCAGGCTGTTCTTAACTGATTGAATGATTTCCACCCACACTGTAGAAGATACCGTGCTTCCCTCACACTCCACCGGTTGAAATGTTGTCATTGAAAAAGCACATCATGGGCTGGGGATTTAGCTCAGTGGTTCTTCTGCCTTCCTCTCAAATGCAAGGTTCCAAGTTCAATCCCCAGTACAAAAGAAAAGAAAAGAAAAAACACATTGCAGAACTTCCACAATAATGTTTGAACAAATACCTATGCAGTGTCACTTCACAAAGTTGACACATACTATGAACCATCATAGTCCTTACTGCACTGTTCCTCTCTTTCCTTTTTAGGTCCCTCTGAAATCAATCAGACATGTCAGCTTTCAAGATGAGGATGAGATTGTCAGAATAAATCCTCGAGATATCTTAATACGCCGATATGCAGACTACAGGCATCCGGACATGTGGAAAAATGACTTGGAGAGAGATGATGCTGACTCTAGTATTCACTTTTCTAAACCAGACAGTAAAAAATCAGACTATCTCTATTCTTATGGAGATGAGACTAAGTTAAGTTCGCTCAAAGACTCTGTGGTATTTAAGACACAACCTTCCTCATTAAAAGTTAAGAAGTCAAAACGAAGAAAAGAGGATGGTGAACGTTCTCGCTGCGTATACTGCCAGGAAAGGTTTAATCATGAAGAAAATGGCAGGGGGAAATGTCAGGATGCTCCAGATCCTATTAAAAGATGCATATATCAAGTTAGTTGCATGCTCTGTGCAGAGAGCATGTTGTATCATTGTATGTCAGACTCAGAGGGAGATTTTTCTGATCCCTGTTCTTGTGACACTAGCGATGACAAGTTCTGCTTACGATGGTTAGCCCTGGTAGCTTTGTCTTTCATTGTCCCATGTATGTGCTGCTATGTCCCCTTGAGAATGTGCCATCGCTGTGGTGAGGCCTGCGGGTGCTGTGGTGGGAAACATAAAGCTGCTGGATGAAAGGATCCAGTACCAAAATGAGCTTAAAATCTTTGTTTCCAGGAATTAGCTAACTTGGATTTGTGGAAGCTTTTGGCAAGCAGTGTGGAACCTTGCCTGGTGTCACTGGGGTCACACATGGAGGAAGTGGAACTCATCAGTTCTTGGCATTTCACATGCTAGCCATGCATAACTTTTTCCCTTGAGTGCATGGCATATTTTGTTACAGGTTGTAGAGTACTCGCAGAAGGAAATCATTTCTGGTTCTTGACTATAAAAAGTCAGAATAAAATATGATCTGACTAAAAGGGATTAATTTTGGCATTTTTGTATATTTATGCATTAGGTGATGGGACTTTTAAAAGGTTTGATTATATTAGGACATGAAATAAGAATAAAAGTGCACTAGGGGACAGTTTATTTCAATCTAAGAAAAGTTATTAACACTTGGAAATTACAAGCAGTAAAGTGCAACTAAATCATTAGTTGGTTTTTGAAAGCAGTTTTATGTATAAATAACAAATGTTTATATTTAACTAAATGTAAGGTACGAATTATTACATATTAAACTTTTCTTGCCCTTTTAAAGTAGATATAGATATATATATATCTATATCTATATATATCTATATCTACTGTCACATTCCATATATTTTAAATATTTAACTCATCTAATTAATAATGTTTTTATTCCATGTGAATGATTTGCTATTTTCACCCTCATTTCTTTTTGGCTACAGTTTATATTGAGTTATATCTGTACATTCTGCTAATCTAAATCCTTTAAAAATATTCTAATATCCTTGAGTGACCAACTTTTTTTTAAAGCACAGGTGTAATTGTCTAATGTTCTTATGGGAACGTAACACTTATTTTTATATAAAAAGAGACTGAGTAAACATAGAAAAAAAGTGAAGTTTTTGTAGTTGTTTTGTTTTTCATGGTATTCAACCAGCAAGTTGTTTTCTTCCAGAATTTCCTCCTTTAAAAATTATATTGCATTTACAAATGATTTATAAGTCAAAAAGTGTAACTGGATAGTTAATGTAAAACAGTTTCCTCTTGAGGTTTCCATTTATTATTCTGCTAAACCCAAATATGTTCAACTGTGTTACTAATCTTTTAGCTTAATCCTCAGTGTTTATTCACAGAACAATGATAGCTTTTCTTAGTTGCATTTTATTTTTATTTAAACCTGCAAAAAGGAAAATGATTTTATGTTAATATGTGTGCTAAACTATCCCAGGAAAGTATTTAATCCAACATTGTGAATGAAATATCTTGTACATATAAATGTATTCCTTTCGCAGAACATTGTGTTACTGTTATTTGTTTAATTTGCAAAGTAATAGGATACATGTTCCAACAAATTGTTTAAAGTACTTTGGGGTTAAATTGTCTTTTCATTTTTCTTTTCTTTTTTTGTGTGTTAACATAAAAACTAACCAAGTAAGAGAGTCTTTTAAGACCCTTAGTGGGATAAAGTTGAGAAGTGTGCCTTTTTTTTTTTTAATGGCTTGATGTTTCAGAGATGATAAAAATTCAAATCACTACCATTTTGAGCTCATTTTCTGTGCAGGTTTTTAATTGTCATTTATGTATCATTTGTTTTACGTATCAGACTTAAGCTTATGTTTGCTTTCTTATTTTGCCCCAGGTCAAACTGAACAATGTATATAACACTATCTGTCTGTAAAATACTTTTTTTAAGAAAGCATTTATATTTATATGACAGCTTGAACTGACAACATTGTATATAGATCATCATGAAGTATTATTTCACATTGAAAAGAAGAAAAATATATTGATAACTATAGATGTTATGAAGAAGAGGTTATTTCTAGTTTTGTACTAAAAATCAGTTGAACTAAATCCAAAACATGACACTGTAGCAGCAGTTTTAAGTCTTATTTTTACTGTTTATATTTTTGAATGCTGCTACACCAGATGATCTTTATCCTGGAAGTTTTCAGTATACTTGGTTTCCTAGAATAGACTGTTAACTTTCAAAATTCATTTTTATTGGTGAAATGGAAATACTGGTTTCCTTGAGAATGGATTTTCATATTTGTAAGTGCTAAGTTTATAATTCAGGTTTGAGCAAGGTGTGAATAACTGAAGAAAATAACTTGCTGGCTATAGGAAAATGCTGTGGAAAAGAACTGTGTATATACTTCTGAGAAGAACAAATGTAATCATTTCTGTTAAGCACTAATCAGTGTAGTGCTACTCCTGGTTCTGTACTGTATTTTATATGCAACATATATGCTTTAATATTTTAATGTTTGTGCATTAATATTTTCAATTTGTTTAACCACTTTGCTGCTAAGATTTTACTGTCCCATCCCCATTTTTTCCTTTACAACTTTAAAGAAGTTTCTTCATTAAAAATTAATGGTGATGAAATGGTTATTTCACCTTGGGACTTATTAATTAACATACCCAATTTCCAGGTCAGGTCTAGAAAACTGATAATGTTACCTGAATCGGTAGGTGGAAATTTTCTCTTATGTAAGTGAAAATTCCTGTGAGAAAGATAATTTAACTCTGATTCTCAAATATATGTATAAATATTAAGGGACATTACCTTGTTCTGTTCAGATTTGGCGCTGTCATTTGGCGTTTCTTTGAAAACTTGTTTAATCTGATTGTATAAGCAAATGGCTCAACAAAACTGTTAAAGTAAATTTTGAAAATGAAGTCATCTAAATGTATTACAAAAAATTTGGCCTGATGAACTTACTTTGTTCAGAATTAATAATTTAAAAATTCTAGTTTAGAAGGCTAATTTGATTGCTGAGGAAATGTGTATCTGGAGCTTCAGCACCACCTACTGGATGATTCCAGACAGACAGAAGAGGTGGATCCTAGGGTCCCATAGGGCTCCTCTCTACTACTAGTAAAGGGCTGTTCGAGAGGCCGCCTCCTACTATGGAAAGCAGGACTAAGAAATAATCTCACAGGAACTGTAAAATTATTCTTTTCTCTAATGCATTTTGTTGGTTACTGAAAGATTTTAAGCACTTTTTTACATAGCCTCTTTTAAAATATTTATTGATATTTAGGACTGGCAGTCATACTGAATGGATGCGCTGACATTTATAGAACCTGTTCCTTTAACTCACAAAAGCCATTACCAAAATGTTATTTTCATTTTTCCTCCCATTGCCAGGCAGGGAGAATTCTAAAAATAACCTGATGGCCTGTATTTTACCATGACAACTTTAGAGGGACTGTGTGTATGTTTTGGAGAAGATGATGGTGAGGCAGGGATTAAAATTTAAAGGGAAAATCTTGAGACTACCTATTTTCATTGGTTATTCAGCAGTGCCTAAAATGAGCTTTTGAAGTTATACAAATGCACTTTCAACTCATATGTGTAGTGCCATCTGATATCTTGGGTAAGTCTTGCTTTGCTTTTCCTTTTTCTCCTTTCCCTTTAATTAAATGACAAAGGTGTTTCTTAATATCCTTGTGAGTATTCAGATTACAGGAAACATGTACTTTCCTTTTGATGGGAAATGTAAAGAATTTTAAGGATGTTTCTTTTGTTGAGGTTTACTTTAGGCTTTATGATTACACTTGGAACTTAAAACCTGCAAATAATGTTTAAGATTAGGTTTTTAATTGTAGCCCAAAGGTACATTAAATGTGTAATATTTTTCTTTTTGGTACTGGGGATCAAACTTGGGACCTTATGCTTGCGAGGCAGGCGGCAGCACCACTGAAGTAAATCCCCGGCCCACATTTTCTTTTATAAAACTTTGAAAACCTTGGTTACCTGAAAAAAAATAGATTCCTCACTAAATATTGTTTTGCTTCTTGATTAACCTCCCTTATCGCATTCCTAAGTATAAGGGAAAGCACTATAACTTGCATGACATATTGTTGCACTAAAAAAAAGTAGAAATCATTATAGCACTACATGATGTTTTGAATTAAGTCAGTGTTTAAGAAAAAAAAATTTTTTTCTAAAAACAGCAGGAGGTGATTTATGTAAACCAAAAAGAAATAAAAAACAAAAGGGCTTTAAGGTACTGTTTGCCTAGCAGCCAGGTGGTTATAAAACTTTCATATGCTTCTCTAAGCTGATACATGTTAGCCATTGTTCCTGAAAGCTTCTTAAATTGCTTACATTGTTAGTTTTGAAAAATTACAAGATAATTTAGTTGAAAAGCCTTTGTATTAAAGATACACGTAGATTTTTGTGAACATTTCCCATGTGTAGTGTCATTTGCTTTCTATTATCTTGACCTCGAAAGTGCCTCACTTGTATATTATTTCCATTAAAAGCTGACTGCATTCTTTCTAATGAGCAATGAAAAATTGTTTAATCCATGTCATAATGTATCTCCTCAGATATAGTTGACTAGCTTGATAACTTTTGAGTATATAATGTAAATAGGCATATATAAGTTTGTAACTGTTTTTGTTACATCATACCCATGTAATTGGACATATCAGATGATATCATAAAAATTTGTTTTGATGGTTTTTTCGTCCCCTGGAATTACCTAATTAAACCTATCATGAAATGTAAAAGGACTTTTTCTTACTCTGTTACAGCTATCAGATTTTCAAGAGAGAATTACTGGGGGGCTGGGGATTTAGCTCAGTGGTTCCGCCGCCTGCCTTGTAAGCACAAGGACCCAAGTTGGATCCCCAGTACCAAAAAAAAAAGAATTACTGGAAGAGAACGTAATTAAAAATGGAAGCTGTTGATAAGGTTTTTTGTTTCGTTTTATTCTTTAAAGGTGTATGTTTAACCAAGTTCATACATAGTTCTTATTTTGATTGCATCTACACACAAGTATATATGTTTTTCATTTTTTACTTTTTTAGTTTGCCATGTAGTACATATTTATTGATTTGGAAAGCCATTGAGCTTAGTCTGGATTAACCACCTGAACTGCTACATGGCAGATGTTTAACCCAAGACAACTATTACTGATTGCTCTTTGTATTCATTCTATGGTCAAAATGACCAATCTAAATGAAAAAAAGATTACGACAGTACTCCAAAGTCAGTGTATCTCAGCACCAGAGTAACTTTTGGATTAGGACATCACAGTGTGTTCATTTCAAAAATGAAGGATCAACTACCCTTGTTAAGGAATGTAGTCTTATGTGCTTATTTCCAGGTTCTCAGAAATTTCCTCTATATTCTTCATCAAGTTACCACCCACAAATAAGTACAATAGTTATTACATTGGTGACACTGAATCTAGGGTCTCTGCTTGGCCATCAGTGCAGTGTCAGTCACACTGTTCCATAAAAGGAAAAATCAATGTTAAGGAAAGTTAGTCCCTTTAAAATTAACTGCTTTTTTAAGATTTGTAGTTTTAGGGAAATCTTTGAAGTGATGGTTTAAAACAATACATTTATAAAAAGGTTCAGCAAAGTTGAACTTTTATCTATATATTTGTTACATAATTTATACTTGGCCACTTTTGATCCTCAGATAACCCTGTAAGTATTATCTTCCTCATTTCTAAAAGATAGAGGCTTCAAGAGATCAGAAACTACTTCCAAAGTCACAGAAGCAACTATCCTAATTTAAACTAGATGCTGGCTGCCGCTAA